ATTATTAAGTCATTCATGAAAATACTCGGATTACAGACGTTTTTCGCATATTTCTCTCTCTCTCTGTCTGTCTGCCTGTCAGTGTTTGTGCCAATGTTGGCAATGACACTAAAATGCATGTAAAAGAAGTTTAATAAGATTATAACGAATTTGTTTTGTGATGATAACAGTGCTAACTGTGTGGGGGATGGAGTGGTCGATGTGATTGCTCTGTCCTATTGTCCTATAAGTGAATATTAGGACAAGTGATCCAAACACTCATACAATTTGTCTGTCCATCAGTAGTGGAAGTGTTAACCAAATGTATGAATTGTTGCCAAAATGATGGATCTAAAGGAGAGCTCAATTAGTGTCACCTATAACTCCGGTAGTTGTGGTGCCGTCTCTGTCGCCAATTTAGACCCAAATCAGCGCCAAAATGTATATAATAGTAGTGCCACTCAAGCAAACACATCCACCGCTACTCCTGTGATATCACTCTTCAAACTGAAGAATTTTTTATATCAACCAAAATTCAAAACTCTCATGACTTCTGATGGTAAGACTTCCCATCATATTGTGTCCGACAAACAATCTTTGTCTTTATATTCAATATTGCATTCGTTGTGTCCGTTTCATTGCAAACCCTTAACACATCTTTCAGTAATACCCAATATATTTCAATTATTGTCTCAATTGTACACAAAGTTCTGATATTTTGCCTCAATATATCAAACCATTTGTTTTAATTATATTTAATATAATTAATATGTTATGAATTGTTATGCGAAACAAATGAATCAAATGAATGATTGAATACTTTAGGGCCGAATACGAACCCCACCAACAATATAGATGATGGCCGGACCGGGTCTGGCGGTTTGGACACATCACCATCACTGCACCATAATCTGTATGGCAGTCATACCAGTGCTGGCAATCGTAACGCTAATAACAATAGCCGCCCCCAATCACCCAATGGTGGACAACAAATGCTTGTTGTGCCGCAACCTCTCAAGTCGTCTAATACTCTCTCCGGTGGGCCCACAACGAACGGCACGGGCAGAAAGTACCAATGTAAAATGTGCCCTCAGGTATTGCAAATCTTACACACTCTTTACTATTGTTATATCATTCCCACACTACCTGTGACTACCTGTGCTCACACATACACTGCCTGTATATCAATTCATATAGAGCTTAATTCACACAATTCTTATTACAATTATTTGATTCATTGAATTATAGACTTATTTATTGATCATAATATTTATTATATTATTCTATATGTTATAAATATTATTATAACTAATAATAAGTCTTATAATTTAGTAATACAGTATATTCTTATATACTTTTAATATTTAAATTTAAGTGCATATTCAGTTAAATTTATCTAAAATATTAAAATATTGTTTTTAGTTTAGATTGTTTTATGCTTTATATTTAATTTAATATCAAATTAGAAAAATTATTATATCTTTATTAGAAGACAAAAAATTTTAAACTTATATTTAAATATTATGGAATGGATATAATATTTGGGGATTTTATCAAATAAAATAATAAATTTTAGAATAATTTGTTATGTGATATTTGTTATTCTTAAATTTTTAATTTATTTATAATTAGGTAAATGTTTTAAAAACAAAATTTGAGCGCAAACTGTAAGATGTAGCCACAATTCTATATGATAGAGGTTACTATTAAATCCAGATATCAGGATATTAGAATGATAAGAGTGATAGAATGATACTCCTATTCTTAAACTAGGTGCTTTTGATACATTATTTTAATTGACAAAATTAAGTTGCCTGAGGAAGGATATTTTTCAGATTTTTGTTAAACCCCCCGCCGTTGTGCACAGGTGGAGGGGTGGGGCTGTTTTGAAAGCAACAATGCTATACCATTATGTTATTTCCATAGAACATTTTATAAAAACTTTAAATTTACAAAATCACTTTAAAATGAGATATCGAAAATTTACTTTTTGCCTTTAATGGCCGTAAACATAATAACGTATTGATTTTGAAAATTGATTATGTAAATTTTAACTAAGACGCCATTTATGCGCTACGACCCCCTTTTCGGTGCACAACGGCCAGGGGTTTAACAAAAATCTGAAATAGCCAAAATATCCGTCCCAAGGCAACTAAATTTTCCAATTTAAAAATATATAAAAAGCGCCTACTTTAAGAATAGTGCTCCCGAATAGAGAGTTTAGAAGGGAATAATGTTCCCGTCTGTATTAGCTAGATATGTATGAATAGAATTGGATTTTGGAATATTATTGCCCATATTTGCGTACATCCATAGGAATAACATGCAATCTTATGTTAATTGTAAACTTGATAAACTCTAAACTGAATTCACATTATAGTTATAGATATTGGTATATTGATACTGTGTATTATAAAGTATACAATCAGTTGATATACCGTCTCATTGATGTGATTAAGCTTGAATTGTATTAACTTATTAGTTCATATTGTGTTGCCTCAACTTATGGCTTCTTAGCCGTGATTTGCAGGCAATCAATATCCGAAACAACGCACTCGTCATATAATTCGGCATATTTTCATGTCTGTGACTATTAGAAAAGGCCGCAAATGGGAAACCAATATAAATTATACATCAATAACTTATTTTTAAAAATTAACAAAATAGCAATTTATATTATGGATGCCTAATACTCAATTAGTATCAGTCATTATTATGTCTGAATCTTTTTTACAATTTATTATTAATTTATTAATAAAATTAGTGAAAAACAGTTTAACACATACATTGATGTCGGATGCGCTATAATTTGCATATACAATGAGTTATGCCGTTTGGCATCCATTGAATTGTTTACAAATTATTCTGCATTTAAGATGAAATTAAAATCTGAGAAATATTTAATGTTTTATAATGAAGAGACAAATTATGTAATTTTTAAAGTTATATTTTCTGATATAAAAGACATTTACTCTTTAGAATTCATATAGAGCTTAATTCACACAATTCTTATTACAATTATTTGATTCATTGAATTATAGACTTATTTATTGATCATAATATTTATTATATTATTCTATATGTTATAAATATTATTATAACTAATATTAAGTCTTATAATTTAGTAATACAGTATATTATTATATACCTTTAATATTTAAATTTAAGTGCATATTCAGTTAAATTTATCTAAAATATTGTGTTTAGTTTATATTGTTTTATGCTTTATATTTAATTTAATATCAAATTAGAAAAATTATTATTTCTTTATTAGAAGACAAAAAAATTTAAACTTATATTTAATTAAATATTAAGGAATAGATATAATATTTGGGGATTTTATCAAATAAAATAATAAATTTTAGAATAATTTGTTATGTGATATTTGTTATTTTTGAATTTTTAATTTATTTATAATTAGGTAAATGTTGATAAAAACCATTTTAAAATAAAATTTGAGCGCAAACTGTAAGATAGAGGTTACCATTAAATCCAGATATCAGGATATTAGAATGATAAGAGTCATAGAATGATACTCCTATTCTTAAACTAGGTGCTTTCGATACATTATTTTAATTGAAAAAATTAAGTTGCCTGAGAAAGGATATTTTTCAAATTTTTGTTAAACCCCCTGGCCGTTGTGCACAGGTGGGGGTTATTTTGAAAGCAAAAATTCTCTACCATTATATTATTTCCATAGAAGATTTCATAAAAACTTTAAATTTACAAAATCACTTTAAAATGAGATATCGAAAATTTGAAAATTAACTTTTTGCCTTTAGTGGCAGTAGACATAATAACGTATTGATTTTGAAAATAGATCATGTAAATTTTAACTAAGAGGGCATTTATGCGCTACGACCCCCTTCCCGGTGCACAACGACCAGGGGGTTTAACAAAAATCTGAAATAGCCAAAATATCCGTTCTAAGGCAACTACATTTTTCAATTTAAAAATATATAAACAGCACCCACTTTAAGAATAGTGCTCCCGAATAGAGAGTTTGGAAGGGAATAATGTTCCCGTCTGTATAAGCTGTATGTATGAATAGAATTGAATTTGGGAATAGCATTGCCCATATTTGCGCCCATAGGAATAACATGCAATCTTATGTTAATTGTAAACTTGATAAACTCTAAACTGAATTCACATTATAGTTATAGATATTGGTATATTGATATTGTGTATTATAAAGTATACAATCAGTTGATATACCGTCTCATTGATGTGATTAAGCTTGAATTGTATTAACTTATTAGTTCATATTGTGTTGTCTCAACTGCTTCTTAGCCGTGATTTGCAGGCATTCAATATCCGAAACAATGCACTCGTCTATACTTCGGCATATTTTCATGTCTATGACTATTAGAAAAGGTCGCAAATGGGAAACCAATATAAATTATACATCAATAACTTATTTTTAAAAAGTAGCAAAATAGCAATCTTTATTATGGATGCCTAATACTCAATTAGTATCAGTCATTATTATGTCTGAATCTTTTTTATAATTTATTTATAAAATTAGTGAAAAACAGTTTAACACATACATTGATGTCGGATGCGCTATAATTTGCAATACAATGAGTTATGCCGTTTGGCATCCATTGAATTCAAATGTTTAATAAGACGTAAATTCTACTTTAATTTTAGACTCTTTATAAATTACAAAATATTACTTCTCTGTTTAATACATTAAAAATTTCAATATAAAAGACTATATTTTCTGTAAATGAGAAATCTTTGAAGGCCTTCAGTAGGGGAGAGAGAGAGAGAGAGAGAGAGAGATTGATATGAAATAATTTACATTTGTATTTTTGGGCCATTTTAATAATGAAGTGGAAATAGTGGTAATTCTTTATTCGCTGTATTTTTATTAATTATTAATACCTAATAATTATTGAGATATTTTAGGTTAAAAAATATATTATAATAATAATCATAAGCAATAAACAAGAGCTGACATTGAATTTTGTTGTTGTTTTGCTTTTAGAAGGTTATCTAATAATCAAATACAAAATCATTACTTTTTAGTCGAGAATTCAAATTCAAAACCTTCAAACACTTGCATTAATTCATTTAATTATAAACTTTTACAATAAATTATTTCATAAATTAAGCCTTTTTCAGACTTTTTTTTTTAAAACGAGAATTTACTTATTTTTTCCTATTAATTGATATCAGTTTGTCAGTCAATAGGCGTAATATTAGACATTATTTTGTTAATTATTAACATTGATATCAGTTGTCTATTGGTTAAGAAAAAACGTCTTTAATTTAATACTTTAATACAATTGGTTTTGAAAACTATCTAAAATATCAAGAAATTGTAGTTTGAAAGACGTCTGAATAATTTAAAGTCTAATACCCGTACACTATATAATGGTAATAATTAACGATAAAACTTGTCCGCATTATGAGATCATTATAAAACACTATTTATTCACGTAACACAAATTGTTTTTAATTATTTATTTAAATAAATTGGATGTAAATTTTTATTAAATTCTGATTTACTTATTATTTATTTAACAAAACTATTAAATCCAATATCGCTTAAAATTATTGTGTTTAGGATTTTATAAATTCTATGGGAATTTTTGCTATAAAATAATATTTTAAGTTATGTAAAATACACAAAACAAAAAATTAACTGTATATGAAGTTTAGGCATAAATTATGATGAAATTCCCCTATTATTATGTCGATTGTTATAACCATTTATACTGACGAGAGATATCTCTAGGAATCGATACAAAAGTAAAAGTTTTAAAAACTTGTTTCGTAATTCATTTATAAGTTTATTTAAATTAAATTACGAAAAATTGATTGAAGACTAAACAAAATTTGAAACAAAGGTTTTAATTGTAGAGCGAGTTATAAATAATATTTGCATATCTGATGTCTTATCGGTTTATAATTCAAATGATTTCATTTGAGAGACATATCAGAAATGAATTGAGACTTTGAGGCAGTTGTAGCAGTACTGGTGGTTATACTGGTAATTGAGAATTACATATATTTGTAATTTAGTAAATGAAATGTTGATTAATTGTTGATTTTGTGATGTATGGACAGATATTTGGGTCGAAAGCAGACATGCAATTACACACACAGATCCATATGAGAGAAGCGAAACCATACAAATGTTCCCAATGTTCAAAAGCATTTGCCAATTCATCGTATTTGTCTCAACACACTCGCATCCATTTGGGTATTAAGCCCTACCGGTGCGAGATTTGCCAGAGAAAGTTCACCCAATTGTCGCACCTTCAGCAACACATTAGGACCCATACGGGCGATAAGCCTTATAAATGTCGACATCCCGGTTGTAATAAAGCGTTTTCACAACTTTCCAACCTTCAGTCCCATTCCCGGTGTCATCAAACAGATAAGCCATACAAATGTAACAGTTGTTACAAATGCTTTACCGACGAAACCAGTCTTTTGGATCACATCCCGAAGCATAAAGAGTCCAAACACTTGAAGACTCATATTTGTCAATATTGTGGTAAATCTTATACACAAGAAACCTATTTAGCAAAACATATGCAAAAACATGCCGACAGAATGGAGAAGAGGTCTGGACTTCTGCGAGCGGCCCATTCCTCCTCTGATGGCTATTGGCCTAAAGGCGCTGTCATCGGCGGCGGCGGTGGTGGTGGCGGCAGTGCTTCCAACCAGAATACTGAGTGTGTGGGCGAATTAGGCCCACATGTGCACCACCACCATCATCACCACCACCATCAGAATGAACAGTCGTGTTTGGCATCGGTTCTCAATGCAGACCAGTCGTCCACATCTCGTTACGCGCGATCAGAACTCGACCCCTCACAGCACCGACTCTCCAGTGGACAACTTCTCACCGGTAGCTCAAACAATGGCAGACAATCTGATGAACTGTTGTACGGTATGGACCCGAAGACGACGACATCGGTGTCTGCGTCGGCGTTCACACCGATCCAAACGGCGGGTGTGTTGGGCGGCAGTAACGCCGCGCGCAATGCTGTGGCCGCCGCTTACTTCCCATACGAGTCGTTTGGTTTCGCCACAAAAGCGGCCACAACTGGAATGACGGGAATGGAGATGAAGTCAGCGATGGAAGCGTCCAAAACCAGTGGTCACACGTCTTTCCCAAACCAATTAATAGCTTTGCATCAAATCCGAAACTATGCATCGATGCCATCATCGGCCGCGTCGGCCATCGCTGGCGAACATCCGATATCATTGAAGGATAAACACTCGCAATAAGTTTTTTTGTATGTTTTAGTGCAATGATAAGTAATGAACTACCGGTGATGTCATTCATTCGTATGAGAATTTCATTTTATTTAACGTTATTCTGTATATTTCGGGCATTCATTGCGTAAAACGTGGCCAAAAATATTCAATATATATTTAAAAATAATTAAAAGTTTTTGTCTAAATCTTTATTTAATTAATTAAATGAATAATAACTTAGAAATTTATGCTCATTTCTTATATAGGAATCTGATTTCTCACAAATAAAACTGTGATTGAAATTTAATGTTTAATGATTACTATCAGCCAAACAATAAACACTTAACGAATTAAAACGAATTGCAATCGTTATTATGTTTGCAAAAATCCACTCATTATTATATTATATATTATATTATATTATATTAATATTATTTTCAAAAAACAATACATCAATTCTCTATTTTTATTTCCAAACTCAAACAAATTGTTAGAAAAAATGATAGCAAAATGATTGCATTTATTCAGTATATCGAGCAATGAATACATTGACAAAACCAAAAAGCGGTCCTTTTTTGTATTATATTATATAATAATTATATTATGAATTAAAACAATACACGAATTATTACACAATAAATATTCAATTATAAGTACAGATATATTACAGATAACTGTTCTTATCATATAATCTAATCATTGCATAACTTATATAAAACTCAATACATTATGTTTGTTTTATTTCACCTAGATGCCAATATTTATCAATAGGCAATGTATTTTTTGTTTTTTCATTACACATCACTTCTTATTTTACTATATTCAAACAATTATTCATAACATCAATTATATATACATATATAAATAAATTTGTGATTTAAATATACTGTAAAATAAAATACAAATTGAATATGGACATTTTTATTTAGAATACTTTCTGCCATCGATGTCGACAAATATATGTTGAAAGTGTTTTACGATATAAATCAATGCAAACGATTGTTGTTTCTCGGATTCTTTACAACAAATATGATCACTCCGTTTAAAATGATATAAAATTTGGGATAATATAGATTCACAGTTTATTTTATATACAATTACTGACCCTCAGCATATGTCTTGACCATAGGATTAGCATTGCTTCTATGTTTACGATAAAAATTATTGTATAAAAATTATAGCATTTATCCACAGAATTAGAATTTTATAGATTTCTCTTACAGTTAGGAAAAGCGTGAACACATGTTAAAGTATTGCCACATAACTGGTTAGTTGATATGATAATGATATTTGCAATTGAAAGGGAGGGAGTTGTGGTCAAACAACGGACACAATTCTTAGCTATTTATCTAATCTAAATGTTAAGGAGTAGCTATAGATCCATACCTTTATGAATTAAGAAGTCCACAATTTGTAGTGTATACCAGATTTGGTAGTTTTACAATTTTGATAAGAAAGTTTTGAATAATACATCTATTGGGCTAATATAGAATTGTTTAATGTAAAATGTGTGATTAAATAGTGACAGTATCTCATCTTATTATCTTTAGTAAAATAAATATATAATTATAACAAAAATTCAAACGTCAAGAGTTGCCAGAGTTATGCATAGAGTGGACATTATTTGATAGTTTCAAAAGACTTATTTGTGAATATATTAAGTTAATCCACCCATCTCAATTCCAAATATAATATTTTCCAAATTTAAATAGTGTTTGTTAAGAATATTCTTATGAAATTTAACACATTGTTTACGATTGTAAACAGTCTTATCAACATTTGACACTATTTTATTAGACGACCATATCTTTAAGCATTATTATTACGAAATAATGTTTTCAAACGTATAAATAATTATAAAATTCTAATATTATGTTTATTTTAAAATGTACGGAATTTTTGATGCAAAATCATTGCAAATTGTATTATGAAAATCTGTAAACAATTGACATAATGTTTAACTAAAATAATACAATAATTGTAAAATAAATTTATACCATTTTATGTTAAATATAATTGCATTTAAATTTAATATTAAAATTTTAAATTAATTTATATGAACCAAAATTTCATCTTCCATTAAGTGCAATCTAATTGAAGGCACGATCACAACAGGGTATTATTTGGTGGTCATATAAACATGATTAACCGATACAGTTGTGACAAATGATTGTAATTGATTGGGTTTGCAAAGAGTGGACGCGATTCACGTTTTGGGATTTGTGGCACTTTTGTAATGAAGTTGTGATTCTCATAAAAAACAGAATTGCAAAATGGGTATTGCATATTGACCTCAACTTTGGTCAATACCCATAATCTAATCCATTTAAATTATGTCCATGGTCTAAAGAATAAGTGATGGCATACTTGTCCATAATCATAATTCTGACCATTGACTAAACAAACATGCTAAATATATTTTTGGATCAGATATGCATAAATAGTTTGCATTTGAATTTTATCCAATGATATTGTTTCCTAATTAATGAATAGTAGTTTTCGATGGCTTAGATGTCTATCTAAAGTTAGATCAGTTGTGCGACAATTTGGCCACAAATACCAAACATTGCATTAAAGGCCAGAGGAATGGGAGACTGAGAGAGGCTGTGGAGCGAGTGATGATAGGGTATGAGTGGTTGGTCTGAATGGTTGGTCTGAATGGTTGGTCTGAATGGTTGGTCTGAATGGTTGGTCTGAATGGTTGGTCTGAATGGTTGGTCTGGTTATTGGGGTCGACACGAGAGGCTATGTTCCCAATTCTGATCATTTAATTATACCTTAAATGCACTAAAAAAAACATGTTTAATGAGAAAAAAACTTCATTTAAAATCGATGCTAAAAAGTGTGCCTCAAGTAGTGATACGACAACAGAGGGAGCAGTGATGGGGAGCTCTCGTCTTGAGTGAACCCAAACACCAAAGCACTCAATATGTCGACAATAAGTGGAGTCAAACTGACAGTACATACGCTTTAAACTGAGTTTAAAACCGTTTAAATCGGATGTAAATCTCGCGCACAGACTCTCAGCGACTCTAAATGACTGGCAGTGAAAATATGATGTGATTTAACAATAACTCTATGAGAGTGTCATTCAATCGATACTCGAATACCAATTGATTCTCATTTTGATGTCAGTCTTTGTGATCACTATTGAAATTCACACCCATTTTAAGGTAAACTAAACCAGACATTCATTTTACAGCCAAAACAACAGCCAAACAGACAGTGACTGCTCTCTCACACTGTCTGCCTCTCTCTCTCTCGCTCTCTCTCTCCCTCTCTCACTGTCTGTCTGTCTATAGTCTATGTCTGACACTTGCATAACACTAATCAATGACTAACTCTTTATTATTATTGTATTACTATTACTATCTATTGAATCATTGTTTCAAACAATTGCCTATTTTGAACACATTTTGTTTCGTTACGAAATATTAATTTTGTTTATTATTATAAAATTTAATGATTACTCATTAATGAGACGATTGAATACTGAATGTTGTGTTTAATAAATAATAGTCAATAATATTATAATAATCGACGAATTAATACATTATATTATAAGCGATATAATAGAGTCAATGAGTATGTATTGAGCCCTACAGTCAACTCCCGATTCATAACTAGTTATAAGTAATTCATTAAAACGATATTTAATGTAAATTTTGATTCATTTCTGTCTATCATATAAAACCAGTTAAAATCGATGCCTTATTTTTAGTATCATTTGATTTCATATATTTATTTAGCACTAAATGCCAGTCAATTGAAGTTTTGTGACAATCGATACATTTGCTGGCATTTAGTCAGACATACCTTATATATACTGTATATAACTATATAACTAAATGAACTAATAGTTGTGATTGTGTTTTATTGTGTACAGTATTAATGTCGTCGGGGGTCGGGTCGGGATCAGCCATACGTCGATGCCATCCCTGCGAGCACTGCAATAAGTCGTTCACATCGAGCCATCAATTGGCACAACACAACCGCATCCATACGGGAGAAAAGCCATACAAATGCAGTTATTGTGACAAAAAGTTTAAACAGTTGTCACACGTTCAACAACACACCCGACTCCACACCGGTATGTTTGCACCCATACACCTCCTGTACCCCCTATACCCCGTCCGTACCACTCATTAGTATTGCCGACACCAATGGGAACATACATTTGAATTGAGCTAATTTTGCACATTTTTTTTATGTCGAGAGTTGTCGACAATTAGTCACTTAAAATGTTGTGATTTATGATAATTGATTGAAATTATGGTTAAAATGATTAGAATATGTGTTATAATAGAGGACTGGATGTAATGTGGGATGTGATGGAAGAATAGCGTGAGTTAGTTGTGAGAGTTTTGTGTCTCATGTCTGCTCTTATGGGCCCTAATGTCTAACAAATGATAACATTTCTTAGCACTCGATTAGCCGATGCTTTGATCTAAACGCTGATTACCTCCGAAGATGTGAATCCCTTGCGTAGTGAATGGGTATTGAGTCTAATGTGATGTTTAGAGCAGATCAGTGGCGATGATGAGAGAAGTCTTATCATAGACTCACTCTTTGTTATATTCTCACCATTTTTTGCCTCTAATTCTCTTCTCTTTATTCTCTATTCTTAACTATAATTCTAACTCTAACTGAGAAGTTGTGTTCAACTTATTTGGTCTCAAACTTTGCAACCAATAATACAAAGAATAGTTTTGTGCCGAAACATCAAATCAAGTCCGATGTCTCTGTAATATATGTTTTAATTTTTTCTCACTAAAGAGCAAAATGTGACAGTGATTGATGTGCCCATCCATACACTCCTATTCCAGTCCTTTCCATACCATTCCTTACCATTGATTCCACTATCAATACTACCACCAAATGTGTGTTCCCTGGCTCTCCATCGCAGAGTCATTCACGAGAGAGAGAGAGAGAGAGAGAGAGAGAGAGAGGGAGAGAGAGAGTCTCTATAGTATAGTACAAACTGTGATGTATGAGATCTTAAGAGAGACCATGAGTTCGACACAATCCAAGATTATCCCAATAGTGAGCTGTAGTATAGATCTATCAAATTATTAGAAAAGCACATTTGGTTTTGAGACATACACTGATGACTGTATTGTTTGCAGGCGAACGGCCCTATAAATGCTCGGTACCGGAATGTGGCCGCGCTTTCATCCAACTATCAAACCTTCAGCAACACATGAGAAGCCATTGCTCTCTCGACAAAGTGGCCAAAAATAACGAGAAAAAGTATGTCTGCAATCATTGTGGCAAAGGATTCAAAGGACAGAGCAGTTTAGCCACACATCAGTCGAAGGTATGCAACAATCATTCAAATCAACATTAGTTTTCATTTGCATTTTATTTGTTAAACAATATATTTTTATATATTATTTCCATAAATACATTTGAAATTCAATTGAAGACCACAATTGAAATGCTTTGAGACAAACACTTGAAATGTGTCACAATTTGATTGATTTGCAAAAATATTCCTTTAAAACTGGATTTTAATTTTTATCCTTTAAATACATCTCAAGTAATACTATTAAAGGTCTATTATGTATGTATTGGTGTACAACAATTTCATAGCTAGAGATTAGAGTCAAAAACAATGATTACAAACATTGAAATACAAATATCTTAAATACAGTAACAATTAAACACTCCATACATAAGTGAGAGCGTGATTATGATCTAAAACTAATGTATATAAAAGTGAGGTACAAAGTGGAGTCTTGTAACATTGGAGAATGTACGGCAGATTTACCATAAATATACCAAAATATCATACATATTATGTACTTCTACCGAGACATATAGTAGAAGGTATGCTGAATATAACAAATGAATTGTTTGTCAAGTCATCCTTCAATAAGTTTCTGTGATAAATAGTAAAAAATTCTATGTTTAATATGCGGTTACTTTGATTGTCTGTTTGCAGACAAAAGACCAACAAATTAGAGCAAAAACTTGAAAGTAATTATATAATAAAAAACTTTTTCATTCATTTTGAAAATGTATTCTCAAGTGTTCATTATGTCAGACATGCTTTCATTATACAACATCTCGACTCACTTTACGAGTTACGCAAAAATTATATTTTAAAATATAATTTAGTATTAATTAAATATTTGTTAACGTAAATGACTGTAAACGTAAGGATAAAAATGAACATTTTCTACGAATACAATTTAACTCTTCCGTTAAAGTGTTAAAAATAGGGATTGATTTGAAACGATTTTGTGAGAAATAAAGGGTTTTTGTGGATATGTTGTGTTGCTTTGATTGTCGGTCCTCTCATTGGTTCGAGTAATTGGGAGATTGAGTTCTATGTCCTCTGTCCTTGATATTGGTGTTAATATTCAATCAAATGTTACCATTCATTGTACATGAATGAGGAAAATCACTAAACAGTGTTAAGGAAATTTGTTAATTATTATATTGGTTTAACATTTAGTTCAGTTTAATAGTGAATGTTTGGCCCGAGAATTGGTTACACTTTGTATATAATACAAAGTATACGTTATATAATGAAAGCATTTTTCTATATTGAATGGCCTTTTTATATATAAATAATACTTTGAATGTTTGTATGAAATGAAAGTGCGATCGAAAACGAGACGAAACGAGACAGACGTTTACGCACTGCAGACGCGCATTGCATAACATGTACACGAAGTTCATTAACTTTTTCTATAATTAAATCTGCAAATAATTTGTTTCTTTATTTAATTTTTACAATTAAATTCATTTAAAACAGCGATTGAATTGAATGAGTCTTAACTAATTTCATGACAAAAACATTGTTTTTATCAAATTTATTGACACATTTAATCGATGTTAAATAGATAGTTATGAGTTAGACTCCACCCGTTTATGTCTGATATTTTTTGAAGCCATGTCTGGGATGCGGAATGAGCTTAAAAACTATCCCAGAGCTGAATATTTAACATTTTTTATGTTTATTTTCCTCTAATTCATGGCTTACATTAGAAAAAATTATATTTTACCACTTGTTTGAAAATTATTTAATATTATGATATAATTTATCAAATTTCCTATACTGTGTGTTATTTTGGTTTGAATATATATTTTTTACATATACTTTGTATAAGAATACCTGTTCCAGAATGGGTTACCTTAATATTGTTGAATGGACTCGACCTCCGAGACCCCACTCCTCGTATGTTTTGAATTATTTTGAATTAATTAGTTTGAGAACAGATTTTTTATTTGTTAATTCCCTAAGATTTTTATATAATATATATATTTTTGTATAATATTCTGTCTCTAAATTTCATACAATCGTCTGTTGATAATTTTGAATTAGTTTTATTGACACATATTTGACATTAATTTATACTTTAAGTTTGAACACAATTTTTAGATTGAATATCAGATTTGAAAATTACTAAATAATTGTAATTTTAAATATACCGCATATTTAGTTATGAAATTTGTGTATAATTTCTTATCGAAACTCGTTTTAAAATATTAATCCTTTTTTATATGTATTAATTTCTTGAATTACTATTATTTTATATTTATTGCTAATAACTGTCTATTTTTCAATTATTTCTTCTTTTTTGCAAATAAATTGACTCAAAATACAAGATTTAAAAATCCTGTTTATAAATGTAAAATATTTTTTAATTTGGATAATTGAGTAATATTTGCAAAATACAAAACTTGATTTAAAACTAGAATTTACTTTTATTTATAAATTATTGATAGATTACATATTTATTCGCTAATTTGTGACTATTGTGTTGATAAGACTTTAATATTTTTCTCTTTGGAAAATATATTTATTTATGAATTTAAATCTTGAAATACTGTTTATAATATTAAATATTGAAAAACAACTTGTTTTATTTTAAAATTTATTTTACAAAATAATATTAAAATTAAAAAGTTAACAAAATTGGCAAAATTCTATAATTGGTTCAAATGTTAAATGTCTTATTTCACCATAAAATGATGAGAGGACCTATCCTTCAGTCACTTTTCGGTTCAGTGTTTATACACATTCTCTACTAAGTTATACCGTAATTAACGTTTGAATCCATGTTTTAGATGCTCTGCACAAACATTAGTTACACATTTGATAATAAATTAGTTTTTTAATACTAAATATCGAGTTAATTGATGCAATATTGATTGACATTTACTGTATTTCACTGATTAGAAGCACTCAAATCTGGTGGCAGAAGGTGTGGGTTCGTGTCCGGTATGTCATCTCATTCTTCCGAGTAATGAAGAGATTTCTCTTCACATTAAGAAAGAACACAACGGTTTCATCGAATCTCAAAGATTCTCGAGTAATATATTGAGACTATAATTGATTGAGAAAATGGTCTATAATTTTGACAAATTGTTACTTTCATGACAGGAGAAAATCGGATGATATCTCCGTATACGTGTCCCATATGTGCGAAGTCCTATCTCAATGAAGGTTCTTATCGGCGCCATTTGGAGAGCCATCCGGAAGCGCTGTCTTCGCCCACCTCATCGTCATCGTCATCCTCTTCGATCCCTTTATGGCCGTGCAGTGTCTGCACCAGTGTTTTCACTTCAGAAATCGGTAAAAATGCATTCTTTATTTCCAATATGACTGTATTAATGATGTCTTTGATTGGCTGAATGGATAGGTTTGTTGACACACATGGAACAGATGAGAACCGATGCTAAACATCAATTCGAAGCTCAGATAATCCTGAGTTGCGCGGCGGCCGAGAAGAGACACAGGGATGCGATCGCATCGTTGAACAACTCATTCGTGACGAACGCCTCGCAGAACAATAACTCGTCGACAACTTTGTCCACTTCCATGGGATCGTTGAATGAGATTAATAGAAACGCTTCATTTAATGAAATCGTCAATCATTCAAATTTGATTCAAAACTCATTTAAATTTTAATAATTGTCTTGAATTGGATTCAACAAAAAAAATTAAGTGTAATTATAATATTATCCAAAGTTTCTGTTCTCTAAAGAATTCAAATCTTAAGCTGTGATAAGGAATTTCTCGATTGTGGCAAATGGGCTAATGATACGAATGCAACACTTTTTTCTATTAATTAATTTCATTTAATTTAATTATCGATCAATTCTTGCTGTCTATAGACTGAGTCAATACATTGAATACATTGATTACAACAACACTTATACTCTCTTTTGAAACACATTTCAAAACACATATACAAAAACATTGTTTCGAAGACACTTCGAGACCAGAACTACATTCAAAATAATGTCAAACATTATATAATATAACGATATTATGATTATTATTACTTTTTATGATTACTATTATATTCTATGATTATATAATAATAAGTTAGAATACTGTATGGCTTTATATCTTATTGTTTTGCATATACTATACTGTAATGACTCTAAAATTCTTGAAACTCTTTCTCTCAAATAGTATTAATACTGAGTATAACGAGAAAACAAATGTAGAGATAATCTCAATTCATTTCATTGACACTTTATGTCAAACTCTTTCTCTTTTAACGAAACAACAATTGTTTCGATAATATTTCTGTACAAATGTATACTTCGGGTCCTATTATTCGTTTGAATGTCTTATGTTTGAAACATAACTCTTTTTATGACAAATGGTGTGGTAATTAAGATTACTATCAAAATATTACTAATTATTCAATAATCGACTCTATATTTAGTGAAACACTTAAAAAAAAACTTGTGATGTATTTCTTGTTTTATGTCTCAAAACCATGAAATGCAACCAAAATTCAGAAATGATGTAAAATTGAAGTGATATTAAGAATAAGTCTATATCTTGTTGTTAAGCTTTTAAAGCTTACATGAGGTGAATGTTGTATTGAATACAGTATTTAATATTATATTTAATACTGTATTGAATATTATATGTGAAGAGCGTTTCAAACGCTATACAAAAGCAAAGCAAAGCAGAGCTAAGCACTGACTGCGCAAATGTCGGCCAATTCTGGCCATTAATGCCAATGAATGTCTGTTATCTCACATGAAATGTATTTTACATTAATTTTAAGTAACATTTCTAATAAAATTCTCAATAAAAACAGTTTAAAATTTCAATAATATTTTCGCATTTATTTAATTAATTGCAAAACAATGAATACCAGAAATAACTATACACTTGAGAATAAGGATCCGATCACTGGATTCTCGTATATGACAATAGGAGGTTGTAATTCACCCGCATTTAGTGCTACCCCATCGTCACCTCATTATGAAATATTTGCTAATTTTGCACCAAGCAGCTTTATTGCCATGAAATACAGGTAAGTGATTATCAATTTTGGCACTCATTCCCAACAATAACACAATTCTTGTCAGGAATTTGGGTAAGAATGGTCTCCGGGTTCCTAACGTTGGGTTCAGCGCTTGGAATGGTTTCGGGAATAGAATTAATGAACAGATGGCCGAAGAGTTGTTGACTTTGGCGTATGAAAACGGTATCAACTATTTTGATACCGGAGACGGATATGCGAACGGAAAGTGTGAACTCCTTTTGGGCAATATTCTCAAGAAGAAGAACTGGAAGCGAAGCTCATATATAGTGTCGACCAAATTATTCTGGTATAACGGACCCACCGCTCACAACAGCGGCGGTCTGTCCCGCAAATTCATTATAGAGGCCGTCGAGGCTTCTCTCAAGCGATTACAACTCAAATATATTGATATTTTGATTATTAATAAATTGGACGGTTTGTGTCCAATGGAAGAATTGGTAAATGCTTTTAGACTTTCGTTAAACAATTGATTTGAATAAAACTAATTCAATGTTCACTATTGAAGGTGCGAACAATGGCTCATCTAATAAACAATGGCACGATCTTCTATTGGGGTTAGTTTTTCATGTATTGTATTTGATTGAAACCCAGAATCCGCACACAATATATAGAGCATTAAATTATTTGTTTTACACATTCAACAGCAATAAGTATTTTGTGAGAAATGTGTTATTTTTTTGCAATCAATTGAAGAAAAGTTTGAGTGAATTGAGAATTAATAGAAAATAATTGCTTTTGACTGAAGGGACGTCTCGTTTCGCACCGATGCATATCTCAGAAGCGTTTTCGATATCGCGTCAGTTCAACTGTCCGGCGCCCGTCTGCGAGCAAATGGAGTACCATATGTTCAGTCGCGACAAAATGGAGCTCTTTATGCCTGAGTTGTTCCATAAGATCGGCACCGGATGTATAGTCTGGTCGCCGATGTCTCTCAACTATGACGAAGGCATACAACTTATCACAAGGAAAACCGTTTCATACGATGAAAAGGTGGCACAAAATGCCAAACACTTGGAACTATCGATAATCGCCGACAAACTTGGCTGCGATCAGACACAGCTTACCATCGGTTTGAATGCATATTATTCATTGTATTAAACAATATTCGCGTCATAATTATTCATTTGTATGGATAGCCTGGTCTCTGAGGAACGAACACGTCAACAGTGTCCTCATCGCACCCACAACTGTGGATCAACTCTACCAACAACTGCACGCACTTAAGGTATCGATCGTTGATTTGGTGACAAACAAACCGAAAATGTGATGAAAATTGCCATTTCATAGATTGTGCCCAAACTCACCGCCAATCTTATCGACGAAATTGAGAAAATTCTTGAAAATAAGCCGTCTTTCAGACGATTACAACACAACACATCGGTTCCGGGCATTCAATGCGAAGACGTGCCACAAACTGATGATACAAATAATGAGTCAAACATATGATCGCATTTAATGATTCGCAATACAATACAGTATATAATATATCGATTGTTATGTAATTAGAGTTAATGTTAATGAATAGCAAATAATATTTATTTCACAATAATCTTGAAATCACTCATTCATTAGACAATAAAATATTGGTCACAATATGATTAAAATGCGCCCATTTTATGGTTGTGGAGGCGGTGGCGGAGGAGGGGGTGGGGGTGGAGGAGGCGGCGCCACTGCCGAGAACTGTGGCATTCCTGGCGGTGGCGGAGGGGGTGGTATGTTAGCGAAAGGAGGCGGTGGCGGAGGCATTGCTGAGAACTGGGGCGGAGGGGGCGGCGGGAAGAATGATTGAGGAGGAGGTGGGGGTTGAGGTCGGGGCGGATTCATTTGCCATCCCATGACATTCATATTCATATTCATATTCATATTCATAGTCATCATATTGAGAGCGTCGTCGTGAGAGCCGTAAAACATCTGCATTTGATTACCCGTCGGCACAGCTGTCGGCGCGATCGGCATAAGCATCGGCGCAATGGGTTGAGCGGTGACACCACCGCCACCGGCAGTGGGCGGCGCGTCGGCGAAGAGCTGATGCGGTCGGTCGGCCTGAGCTAACGGGTTCTGCGCGGCCAACAGTCGTTCTGCAGCCGAGCCGTGTCGCTCGCCTTTGGCGTCCTTCTTGAAGGCATAGCTTATAGTAATGGCTCGATTGCAGAGGTATTGTCCGTTCATGGCTTCGATGGCGGCGTCCGAGGCGTCAAAACTGGCGAAATTGACGAACGCATAGCCCTTAGAGTTGCCGGTCTCGGGATCTCTCATGATTTTGGGCGTCTGTAGGATAACACCGAACGCCGAGAACGTGTCGTACAGCAGCTTCTCGTCCACCTCTGGGTCCAGATTACCGATGAATATATTGGCGCCGACGTCGAGGTTCTTCTGATGGGCCGACGCTTTGTTCACGCGAATGGGTTTCCCATAGAGTTTAATCATATTCATGATTTTGATGCCATAGTCGGCGTCCTCTTCGCACATGAACTCCACGAAGCCGTAGCCCTGATGTGAAGCCGTGACCCTGTCTTTGGGCATATGAACGTTCACAACGGGTCCCGCCTGGACGAAGAGCTCCCATAGCGTCGCTTCAGACACCTTCTCATCCAAACCGCCCACATATATAGTCGCGTCCTGATTGCGCTCTGCTATCGGACCCGATGTCATCATTGCCATCACTGCCACCGCGAGTCAACACCTGATCCCAAGTACTTCTTCGGCTTTTAAGCCTTCAAATCAAGTGTTTTCACAAACAGAGCATTCATTGCAAACACAAACCAATCCTCACATCAATTATGTCCTCAATATATATACCAAACAAATGACTGATTGGAGGGAAAGTTGACTTCATTTGGACACTCATTGAAGACATTGAAGACAACGCGTGAAGACTTGTTGTGAGAGTGGAAGTGATAAGTGATGGCGGAATTGATATCGCATTTAAAAAGTGTGTATTCATGTCGTGCGCGACAATTGGATGCGTTGTATGAATATTTGGTGCGATTGTGTCCAACCGTTATTGTCTATGGCTTGAGATCAAGTGGGAAGACATCGATAGTGAAGACATTGTGCCATAAAAGCGATTCACTCTTCGCTTACGTCGACTGCAAAGAGATGTTCAGCAATAAAATGGTTTACGAAAACATTTTGTGTCAATTGAATGACAAAATGAATTGTTTGCCAACAAATCAAATCCAATGCAACTCTTTGTCTCATTTCATCGATTCATTGAAACTACTTTTGGATCAATTTGTGGCAAATGGTCACCGAATGGGAAGACAATCGACGAAACCGATGGCTTTCAAGCAATGCATTATTGTTTTGGATTCAATCGATTCAAATCACCACTTATTCAACGCTTCCAACACTGAAATTATCACATCTTTGGTTAAATTACAAGAACTGACGCAAAATGTTTGCCCAATTAGTTGTCTTCTCGTGAGCTGTCAATCGATTGAATGGTTTTATCGGATCACTTCTTCCCCATTATCTGCCATTCAAATCAATTTCGATAACTATTCCACTCAAGAGATGTCAACCATTCTCACCACTGATTGTCCCAATGGTTTTGATCAACAATTCAAGTGAAATGCGGTCAATATGTTTGGCATACTTTGCCAAATATGTGGAACCAATCACTTCGGGAGAGCTGTCGACCGCCGATTCGGCTAAAACAGTTTCATCGATTCGTATTCAGCCCTCATGTCATCCATTTCGTCGTGCACTTCAATTGTGCCCCTCAGCCAAGTCAGTGCTGAGTGGCATAACATTAACATTACATTATATCGTTTCAATCAATCATATCAATCAATCAAATGTCAATTTGTTAGTTACCTCTCTGTGCGGAAACGTCTTTGTTTTGAAATATAAGTATATATTTTGGTGATTCTGGACAGAGAGGCAAAGTTGCCAGCATAAAGATGGCCGGGATTATCGTTGCCGCTAATGTCCACAATAATGTATTTTTGTGTTAATTAACAGATAATAAATAGATTATTACCGTATTACCCCGCTTATAAGTGCATGCACTTATATGTGAGTTTTCACACAAGGGGTGCACCTATATCCGGATATAAGTGCGGTATTTTTTGGCACATTTTTTACTTTCAATTGAAATTTACATATACCTTGAAATTAAAGTCGTATGACTTGTTATTAAACTTTGAACTCTAAAATGTGACTAAATGTTTGAAATGTAAATGTGGTTTCTTATCTATTGGTGAGTTTCATGAATATTGAGTACATTAGTGTGAAATATCTCATATAATGAACATGTCTTCAAGTGATGAATCAATTCAAATAATCAGTGAATCAATGGATGAATTGGATATAAATGAAGGAGTTCCCAAAGAATTTGAAGATTTACTTTAAATTATTAAATAATGTATCATTTATGCATTAATTCATTGAATTTTTATAAATAATTTTGACAAATAAATATTGATGCACTTATATGTAAATTTTATACAAAGGGTGCACTTATATCCGGATATAGGTGCTGTAGTTTTGATAATATGCAAAATCTGTGAAATTCACTTATAAGTGCATGCACCTATAAGCGGGGTAATACGGTAAAAAGAGTTTACCAAAAAGTATGGGCCATTTGTCTGCAGTTCCCAATATCTGAGGTAAACCCAAAATATTTGACGTGAGGATAGAGATTGTGATAACCAACTGATATATGGTTCCGATGGCACCTCTCAAATGTGTCGGTGATATTTCCGTCAAATACATTGGCGCCAAACCAGCGTTCAAACCTTTCAGTTCATTTACAATAAGAGTTAACATTTAAATACACCATCATCAACTTATAATAATTAAATTATAATGCATTAATGCATTTAAAAATTTGGGAATAAATTATAAATTTACATATATTTGTTAAAAATATTCATAGCATTAAATTAGTTTAACTTTTAATATCAATTGTTAAAATCTGTATTTAAAATTAATGACATTTTAAATGATGACGTTTTGTTGAATTAGATTTTATCTCAAGTTTCAGACATAGATTTCTTAATATATTCAAAAACAAAAACCAATTGCAAAATCATTATCAGTAAAAACCCTGAATTGTAGCCAACATTCATTTGACATTATTCAGGATTGAAGGCACATATTTGGAGAATCAGAGCTATGAAAACAACAACTACTGTATTAAATGTCATAACAGATGCAAACCTGCGTTAAAGCCAATGAAGAATCGGCCCATTATTAGCATTTCATAGGAGCGGCACATCTTCGAGAAGCCCATAAGTCCTGCCGCCAGAAACACAAACACGTTATTCCAGAGAAGACCGCCTTTTCGTCCAAACTTTTCGGCGACATAACCGGTGAGAAGAGCGCCAATCATTCCTCCGATGCAGAAGATTGAGACCATAATAGAGTAGATTAGGTTAACAGTGACCGCATCGCCGCTCACATCGCTTGATGTTGTATTGGATGTAATATTCAAACTCAAGTCATGAAACCTCTCGGTGTGAGCCTCGGAGATGAACTTTTGTACTAATTCTTGCGGTGCGTTCACAACACCCGTATTGTATCCGTGTTGGAAGGATGAGCCCAATGCCGCCGCCGATATCGCAAACACTAAATGACTGTTTAAACCCTGGAAATAAGTGCATAAATTCACATTTAGTAAAAGTTACTGTGAATTTCTTATTACCATAAAGATTTAACGCCATGATATTACTATATTTACAGAAATATTATTAAATGAATGAATAGTACAATTATATACGCCTGGTAATTAGTAATTACTAATTACATCTACTATTATCATATTGTGCGGGAGATATGTTGCACGAGAGTTAAAGTGTATGCCTTATAAAATTTATATGCATTTAATGCAAAAATATTTTTATACAACATTTGTCTTTATTTATTTGATTCTTAAAATTGTGATAAAGCGCTCATTCATAACGAATATACTGTATATTTATATGAGAATATGAGTAGACATACAGAATATGAGAGCTATTTGTGGAGAGGAAGGTCTGGTATAGACACACATAATTCTAACCAATAGAAAGGATTGCATAAAAGGAGTGTCTGATTTGGGAAGCAAAAAGTGCCGGTGCTTTCATGTCTAGTACATTGTCGAGCAATTATTGATTAAACCATAAACCGTATAATAATATAACACTACAACTACTGTGCTTTCAATCGATACCAGCATTAATAGTAGTGAATAAAGTAAATAGAATATAATGTTTCACATATTATATATTATAAACATATAAATTATGAAATACTAATGATTAGACGCCAGACTTACAGATCTCCTTATGTGTGGCATATTCTGGTTATATTAATAATATTATTATTGAAATTGAATATTATTTAAATATTCTAATGAAAACACTTTTATTAATTTAAATTTGAAGCAAAAAAAGATGTGATAAGATATTAATTCTTACTTAACTATAAATATTAACAAACAATACGAAACAAATAAAACACTTAATATTAATATGAATTTTAATTATGAAAAATCAAGAGTATTGTCAATTGTCTATAGAAAATAATTATAGTTTATAAGAGCATTGACAACAAACTTGTTCGTTGATTAACAAACAGATTAGTGAATTGCAACTCCAATATCATAAAATATTGACAGCAAATATATGACAATTTGCAGAAATATGAGAAATTAATATTAAAACAGTGAATGCGTTAATAGAAGAACCGGAATATTTGTCACAACAAATGGGAACCAAACCAACAATCTATGGAGTTCTTTGACGCCGGACAGCACGTCACACAACACACACGCATGACATTAAAATACACCAATTTTTAGCCATCACTTCATAACAATATTATTGATTGAACAAAATGAATATTGAAGTTTTCATAAAATACTAAATGAGATAAATGTGCCGTAAATTTCTACTAAACACTTGTATAACAGTTGCGATTAATTTCAAAAAAGTACTTTTAAACAGACAATAATTACTGTAGACTAAAAGCTGCCTTATTTATGCGAGCTAACTTTTACTCATTTTTTACAATAACCATTTAAAATATATTGCAAACATTTTGTGCTGTATAATTGTTGAAATTAAACACTAAATACACTAAATCTACAATCTATAGTATAGATTCTATACAACACAACCCCCATATCATTAGTTACCATTTCTGTGGCAATATATCTATAATACAAATTGCAATTCATTGTTTGCCTAATTCACAGAATTTCTTGCCATTAAGCTAATTGATATTATATAATAAGAGTTGGTATTTTGTACACTTATTATTTAACTCATATGACAGAACAATAATTGTATAAAAATATTAATTAATTAATTTCTAATAATGTAATATATTCCTTAGAAATAATTGATATCAACAAATTAATGATATCAATAAATCAACAAATATTAGATTTAAAAGACATAAATTTTAGCCCACAGTATAAAATATTTTATTAAATATTAATATTCTTAAAAACTAGAATTTTGCAATTCATTTAATTATTAACAACATTATTATACATTTATAAAAATTGCAAATAATATCATTAATAATTTATAGATTGCTGTGAGATATTTAATTATATTGAGCCCCAATATTATAATTTTGACTACTCTTAAACAGACACAATAAGTGCTAACATAATTATGGAATTATAGAGCGTTTAATAAATGCTTTTATAAATTAATTGATTAAATGTATATTTGTATAAACACTATGTAACAAATACAGTATATTATACAGTATATTTGACATGAAATGATATATATTCCATAGATGTTAACAGAATCTAATAAAATTAAAGATTATAGAATATTCTATTTCAATCACATTTTAATAATTATTAAGTTGAAGTTTGACGATATTTATAACTGAATAAAGTTTGATAAAAAATATACAAACTAGCTAAAATTAAATTAAACAAACAAATAAATGCTCATTCTATTTTACAATGATTTCTTCGGCTAATAACTGTGCCTAACTATTAATACTAGTAATATATTGTACAAAATATACATGTTAAATATACAGTACATTTCAATATACTGTATGTATTGCTATAATAAAATTAATTTTACTAAAATAAAATATACTTTAATTAAAATTTAATCTTTCAAGCAACAATTTCAAATAAAATAAAATAACCACGATAAAAACAGTTACTGTGCAAACGAACAATAAATTAGTGTTATTGTGTATTTACAAAATATTTCATAAAACGATAAAATTGCACATCAAATAAATGATTAAAATATAGTTCATTTAACGTACCCTTAAAGAGGACTTTCTCTCACTATTGCTGTACATTTCAACAAATTATATTGAAATATATGACAAAACTCTTATCTTTGATAAAACATTAATACAATTTACTAAAACTCTTCCTCAAAATACACAACAAGTGAAAGGAAGTGAATACTGACTGAAAGAACGCAAAAATGGTGAACCAATTTTATATTGAAGACATGAAGCAAAATTATTTACTTATTGCTTTATACAGAATATACTAAACACTAAAGAGAATTATGTTTATAATGGGAAATTCTTCGTCAATAACTGGTAAACATTGCAACAACTGATGTAATATCGGCGCAACTCTCCCGTAATTCCACTCATATTATATCATAACATAAATTATGAGACATAAACTTACGGTCGATTCATCCCTTCGTTGTCCTAAATTCATGGGTAATGTTGAAAGATCTGTGGCAGAAGAAGCCATAGAGTCGGCTGGAGATGGACTCTTATCTCTATCCCGATCGGGAATATTGAGATAAGCCATTTCCGATAGTCTCAAGTCATCCATTGTGAGCTTTTTAATTGCTTTTAGCACTTTCTTCGCGTAATGTTAGCAATATATCAATCTGTAGTGAATGTTATTTTTAGAAACAATTGAAATAATATGAATGAATAGCGTATAACAGAATCCAATGCAATGTTTTTCTTCACATCACTTCATAGGACTCATACATTATTTAAAGTAAACATTTGGCGTCCGTTTATTAACTCACAATAAAATGTTCACTCCTTTCACTTTTTATATACAATTTTATGAATATTCCGACAAAATTCTTAACAATTAAATTAACGATATTTAATAAAAATGAAGAATATAGTAAAGAATGCTTAAAATATTTAATGAAATAACTAATAATAATGTGAACTAGTTAAAGAATATAGTGATAATAATGTAAACACGGGTTAGAATAAGGTTATAAGTGGTGGAAGATGTGATATTTATGCTTTCAAGCCCTGCAATGTCGACCCAATGACTTTTAAAGCGCTCTTTCAATCGATTAGAACGCAAGCGCTTTATCCGTGTCTAAGGAGTGGATCCGATCCTCTCATCTCATGTGATCATTAGATGAGCCAAATGTGTAATCACTGATCGCTAAATACACTAAAAATAGTGATAGCAAAACATTTGGCACAACTCGACGCCTCATTCACACACCGACACATCAAAACATGCTTTTATGCAAACAATTAAATGTCATTTAAAAACAAACTTTTTATTCAAATCATTTACAGTGATATTCAAGCAATAAAATCATCGCTCAATAAAGGCTTTAATATTTAGATTAACTTTTTGTGATATATTTTCAATAAATTCGAGAGACAA